TTTTTAAAAAATCCCAAAAAGATTTTCTTAGTATGGTTTTGCAAGCTTAAAATTTTTGAGTGGTCCTTTGTGCATATTGGATTTGATGAGAATATCCATTACATGTTAATATATGTGTGCTTTCTGTGGTCATTACTCATTTTGGAGTGTGTTTTTTTTTTATTAGTATGTCTCATTCTGTACACACTCTTGGATTAGCAAATTTTGGAGTCTTCCGCCTTAGTGATTATTTTTTTCTCTATGGACTTCTGTCATTGATTTTTTGCGTTTCTAGAGGAATTAACCTATACTAGCATATCATGGGTGATGTTGAGTCTCTTAACCACCTACCATTCTTTTGCATCTCCATGGCTTTCCCTTTGATTCTTTGTAGTCCAGCCATGAGGAAAAGGCTACCTCAGAGTCACCAACCAGGCTATCCTTATTATATCCATGCTTCTCTGGTTCGGTTTCCATACTCTTGAGTGTGTCAGCTGCTAATGATTGTGCAAAAGATAAAGAAAAAGAAAAAAATATGCAAAAGAAAAAAAAAATGTGCAAAAGAAAGAAAAAAAAAAGAAGAAAAAAAGATTCATCGATTGAGCGGGAGCCTCCGCCTTTACTCATCAAATACCCCTTGATTCCTAGTGGTTTGACTTTCCTTTGTCGTGCTTAAGATTCTCTTGTCGGAGGTCCAGCTTTCATATCACTACTAGGATTGAATCTAGTATTTGTCGAACTCCAAGAGTCACACACACACTTTTATCATGGGATCTATATTTTTCACATAATGCATCACTTTCTTTCATGAGGAATCTTCGACAGACTGTGCACATTATGTTTACTAGTAATTGTTCTTCTTGGATAATCTTGTGTGTTTTAAAGTACAAATCTGAAATTCCTTGCTTGCTCCACCATATTATTTTTATTATTTTCTTCTTGTTCACTGTTTTCAGTGTTTGTGGTTGCTTTTAGTGAGGGGGAGTTTGGTTCATCTTGATTTCGGTTGGTAAGGGAGTTTGGTTTTTCATTACAAGAGTTGTTTAGCATAAATACTTTGATATGTTCGGTAAGGGGGATTGGCTTTAATTGTTTTGCAAATTGTTATGCACTGTTTGCTAATTATTTCCTTCTTGTATGCTCCTGGTCTTTATATCGTCATATCATTACTTGTGTGGTTTATGATCTTGCTTTTGTTGTTTGAGAGTTGTTTTTCATGAGTTTTAGTTTTCATCTATTCATGTTTTCCATCTCATGTTTCAAGTTAATCGTGTCATATGTCTATTACTTTTTCATATACTCTTGTGGGACTAATAGTTATTTTGGAGATTGTGGCACTAATAGCTGTTTTGCAGATCTTAATCTTGAGAAAGAAGTTTGTGTTTGTTGGTTGTAATGGATTAGGGTGATTAGGATTTTATTTGTTAGGTGTGCTTTGTCACGGCATTGCCAAAGGGGGAGATTGTTAGGTTTTTTTTATTAGCAATCCCGTTTGACAAGGATTTCTTTTAAAAGTTCATTTTCTTCCGAAACTAGGATTACTTTTGGATTTCTATAAGTAATTGGATATCTTCCAAAACTAGGATTACTTTTAGATTTTCTATAAATAGTTGGTTTTCTCCCAAAACTATTTAATTCCTCCAGATCTTCTTTTTGGTTCTTAAGGTTTATATCTGGGGATATTTTGTTAGTTTTCTTTGATATTTTATTGAGTATTCAACTCATGCTTTAAAGAGAGTACATCAAAGGTTCTGTTTGTTATACACAAGAGAGAGAGAGTTGTTCTTCGGTGGATTCTGAACAATTCGAGTCTGAAGCTTCGGTGGATTCTGGAGTGGCTCATCGTAAAGACAATTCCGAAGTGAAGACGGGGTTGGTTCAATTAGGCGTGGATTCGCTAGGTAATTGAGAGTATACCTGTGTAATTCCTTTAAATCTTCTTAGTGGATTGTTTTGTGGCTGTTGCTCGTAGTTTTTTAATCACAGTTGGAGGTGTCCAATTGTGGTTTTTTTCACGTTAAAATCGTTGTATCTCTTTGTCTTGATTGTTTGATTGGGATTGTTATATTCTGTTTAAAATTGATACATAATCACAAATTAACATCTAGGAAATTTCTAGATTTTTCAGATTTGTTGATTAAACAGGTGAGTGCCAACTAATAATCAATAAACAATTATTGAAGTATTACATCTTCAATTAGATAGTGATTGAATCGAGGCTTTGTTTGTTTGCTAGGATAAGAAAATTATAAATTGGAATAAGGCCATGTGTACCACATGTTCCCTTGTCTTTTTGTTCCTTAATACTTTCTTTGGTTGGCCAAAAACATGCGGACATGTGGTCCAGAACTAAAAACATTTTTTTATATTTTATTTTTCCCTAATTAAATATGGTATAATTTTTTTATATGCACAAAAATTTATCCCATGTCCAATGGGCTACATTTGGTTGGCTTGATTGTTGTATTATTTATTTTCTGATCCAATAAGAGCGTCTCTCATAAACAACGTTAAAACCTGAACATGTGAAAAGATATGTTTCTATCAGAAAATGATTAATTATGGTTTAGGCATGAGTCTCATGTATATTTAAATATCACTATCTTTAGATATAAAGAAATAAAAAAAAATTCTAATAAAAAATTTGTTTATATATAATAATACTTTAGGATTCGGTTAACAAGTGCAATAGAATAAAAAAAAAATAACGAAAAAAATATCACATCAGTGAAGTTTTAAAAAAATAATTACGAGTTAGTAAGAAATTATATATATTAATAATTAAATTTATAAATTCTTTCATATCTATATATATATATATATAGTTTCTAACGTCCACTGGAATGTAATTACCCCTCAGAACACAAGACACTTTTATTAATTTCAAATATTTTTTACTAAATTCTATATATTTTGTTTACTAAAACTAAAACACTTTTAATCTTTTCATTTATTTTTAAAATACTTTTAATCTCAATTATGAAACTAAACAATGTGTTAGAACATATCCAATGACAAATATTATAATAGCATTGCTATTGCTATAATTTGACAATGAATAGTAAATGATACTCTAATAGTTAGATATTATTTTTGCAGAATCAAACACAAAAATTGGTGTGTTCGAGACAGAGTTGGAGATGCTGCTGCGCGGGATGCGCAGCAACATCTACTGTGCATCCAAATGGGTTGATTTCGGGGCTCATTTTAATAATCCGAACAGTTCATGTTTTAGAATATATAAAGTGGAACATGTCTGCAAAAAATTAAGTTAATCGAATATCGTTTACCTATTCATCCACTCACATTTTTATTTATAAAAATAAATAATAATTGTGATTTAAAGTATTAAAATGAATATAAATGTGTGTGGATGAATAGGTAAACGATATCTGATTAACTTGATTTTTTGTAGGCATGTTCTACTTGATGTATTTTAAAATATAAACGGTTCGAATTATCAAAATGAACCCCAAAATGAGCCCATTTGGCTGCACTGCGCAGCAACATCCCCAATTCCGTTCGAGACAACCACCCGAACGACCGGCTCGTAGTTTTGCAAAAATTTATATGTCTTGTTAGGAGGGAGAGGTGGAAATGATTGATTATAGCTGAGTTGGTGAATATAATAGCTGCCAAAACTTATGTCAAATTTGATACTGGCTTTGACATTTATCAACTTTATCAACTGCCATATTCATTATTAAAGTATCACTATTGTTATATTATAGCAATAATAATTTCTATGGCAGACCATTGAAGGCGCTCCCACTAACCCTTCTTAATTAGCTTATCAAATCAAATACCAAACTTGTCAGTAGATAAACAATTTGTTAATTAGCTATAGTGGAATTCACACTCCCTCACTTTTAGAGGGTATTTGGGGTAATCTATATTTGTAAATTTTTTATTTTTTTATATTTTTTTAGTAACATTATTTTTATATTATTTTTTATATATTTTTTCAAAAAAAATTTAAAAAATATTTATTTAGATTATTCTAAATAATTCTTAATTAAATCACCATCTTTCAAAAAATAAAATAAAATAACCATTCATTGAATGATTGAGTCTTGAATAATAAAATAAAAATAAAAATGAATGATTAGTCAATAGACGGTAATGGAAATCTCTGCATGTAATATAGGAAATTTTTTTCAGTACATACTCTTATGAGATCTGTACTGTATATATGCATACATCATAATAAATTGAGATTTTAAAAATAAAAATTTAGAGATAAAATCACTTTTTAAGAATGAATTATTTTTATTGTAAAAAATGTTATTATTATATTTTTAGTGACTAAATTAGATATTTAAGGATAAACCACTATTATTTTGGGACCAAAATTTTTATCTAAAAATATAAACATTTTTTTTCTGTGCATTTATTAACGGTACTTTTTAAATTTGGTCCCTAAAAGTCTTTTTTTAAACCGGATAACTTTTTAGTGACTATTCTTGCGACAACAGAAATTAGTCTCCAAATATTTCTACTTTTAGGAACAAAAAATTAGTCCCTAAAACTCTTATTTGTTATAATATTATTGTTATATAATTTTGTGGTATATTTTATGTATTTTTATAACAAATGTTACGTAATTTTTTAATAAAATTATCATAATTTGTGATTCATAAATGAGATTATGTATTTTGGAGTAATGTTATATATTTTTGTTTTAATGTTACACATTCTTTTCTTGAAAAAAATTTGAATCACAAAATAAGACATTTCATCACACAAAAATACATAATAGCTTCACTTTTTTAATAATAAATTACCATAATTTTATCAAACAATTACATAACATTATTTGTCATAAAAAAATATGTAACATATACTATAAGAAAATGTGTAACAAAGGTGCATACGTTTCACTATTCTGATAAATCTTTTTTTATTTATAAAATTTGAATTTGCAAGTTATTTTCCAACCAATAATTTTAGCACTAAGCTAGAAATGAATGAAAAGGAAACAGTACCCGAAAAAAACAGCTATGCGCATAGAAAGGCTGCTAGTCTGTGACCCCATTCATGCCAAATCAAACATGGAGAGATTGAGAAGAAGGACAACTACAAGTCAAACTCACATAAACATATTTTGTTTGTTTGGTAGCACCAGCCCTTCCATCATTTTGTTTTTATGATGTCAATCTCTTCTCTCAATGTTTACAAATACACACTCTCTGTTAAACCCTTACCTTCCCTCTCCCAAAATCTTCTATAGGGGAGCTCTTACATGACAATTTTACCCTTACACTCGTTCTTGGTGTTCTTCTCTTGATTCTCTGTGTTTACTTCCTAACCATGGACAAAAGGCCCAGGAAGCAACTTAAGACCACCCACAACTCTTGTTGTTCTGATGGTTCATTTTCCTTCACTTTCTTTCATTTTCCTTTCTGGGTTCTTTTCTACTTTGTTCATTCTCTAACGGGTATGTGTCTTTTTCTCTGGGTGTTTCATTAGAGGTGAGCAGCATTGAGTGGGAATTCATAAACATGTCTGAACAAGAGGAAGATTTGATACATAGAATGTACAAGCTGGTTGGAAACAGGTAAAATATAAACTGATCTATTAATACATATGTAGTATGTACTTGCTTTGAAATCAAGGACATAGTTGATTAGAAACTTAGGATTATTTGGTGTGTGCATCATTAAGTTGATGGTCTAGGAAAAGTCACATGGTTCCAACTACTTCCTGGTTGAGGTCGTATTTTGTGTAATGAATACATTACGGTAATGTACATTCTATGTATCAAATCATACTATAATATTTTACTCGGTAATCAAAGTCGTGATAATGAGATCATACTAATGACCGATGTGGTATTTTATGTAACAGATATAATACCATGATGTATTTCTTCTCTATTATATGCATATGAAATCTATTTTTATATATAGGACTCATATATTTGTGAAAAAGAGAAATACTACAGTAAAATATGTTATGTAACAGGTATTTTACTGTAGTATTTTACTGTAGTATCAACATTTCTTGTCTCTTTAATTTTAAATTCCACATATCAAGATCATATATATGAGATGGATATATATATATATATATATATTTCAGGTGGGCACTGATAGCTGGGAGAATTCCGGGCCGGAAAGCCGGAGAAATAGAGAGGTTCTGGTTAATGAAACATGGTGAAGGGTTTGCCAGCAGAAGAAAAGAGTTGCTCTTCTTCAACAATACTCATCAATGAAAATTCAAATTCTCTCTCTCTCTCTCTCTCTCTCTCTCTCTTTGTGATTTTGTTTTCTTTGTTTTGTTTTGTTTTAGTCCTTCTATGCTGTTTGTGACTTGCCAAGTGCCAACTCAGTTCTCTTAGATTAAATTAGCGCAGTCTTTGTACACCTTATGGAATTTTTAATAAAATCTTTTATTTCTTGATCAAAAAATATATATGAGTTTAATTTTGATGGATTTGGATCATTCTTATTGGAAACATGATCATGTCCTACTCCTTATCCTATATTCTGTGAGCAATGCTTCTTTGATGTGTTTTTGGTGCCACAATCTTGCTGTAATTTTTACCATAAAATTACATATCAAGAAATATATATATATATATATATATATAAATAAATCCATTATCTTACATGATATATCAGCAAAAAAATAAATAAATAAAATCTAACAGTCAAATTTAAAATTGAAATATTATTTTTTTAGAATTATATATTCTAAATTTGATAGGACTTAAGGTTTGATTTGATTAGTTTAATTATATTCTAAAACTCTAAACAACAATGATTCATACAATTTAAAAAAATATCACTAATAACACTAATACATTAGGAATACCCAAAAAAAAAAAAAGCATAGGCAATGGACGGGGTCTACTGTTACATCATTAGTGATGCTATTAGAGTACCACTTTTAGTGCTCTCAATTATTTTTCAACTCTGAAATGACATATTTTTGCTTTAATTTTAAATTTCAACCGTTGGATTACTACAACAAGATCATTTTATTCAAAAACATCAAAAGATCTTGGTAATCTTCTATTTATACTAATATCCGGTATTAAGTCACTAAAATTAACGATTAAAAATTTATGAAACAAAGAATGATACATTTATTACAAGAGTGAGAAATGAAGATTTCCAACATATTAATGTTTTAAACTTTAAAAACTAAGAGAGGAATTGAAACTTTTGACATGTGGTTTGCTTTGAAGTGATTTACCTTCTTGACTTGTACATATATAAAATCTTTTCAGCATTATGTGGTTTGGGAACAAAATTACATTGTCTCTGATGATACTACTTGTCCGGGAGGGACGGGTCGGGCTGATCCACATCTCTTCCACAGTTGTTCGATCGCTGGATTTACAGAGAAACTTGCACAAGAGTCCAACGGGGAACGGGAGTCCCCTAATGAACCCTCCGACGAGCAAGTCAGAAAAAGAGATTAATGAAATATAGAGATCGGATGATGATAAAGAACTTAACCTTCTCTTTGTCTTAAAAACCTGTTTATATCCTTTGTTCATCATTTCCTTGTCCACTCCGACCTGTCATGTTGGCCGAAAGTCTATGTTCTAATCTGTCTTGTTTATGGTGAGGCTGTTCTGTTCCGACGTGAAGGGATTATCGCATTAAATGTAATAGAGAATCTCATTAATGACTGATGTGTGGTGTAATAACTCTGCAGGACCTTTGTCTACTTATGTGGCTGGTTCTTCTCTTGACATGTGTTTAGATGTCATGAGTTTGAATCATGCATTGGGTTTTAAGTGGTGGGTCAAAAACCCCTATAAGTCCACCCATATCAGTCTCTATTAATGATAAATGTGGAAAATAAAATAAAATTATACTCTATTAAATATTGTCTCCAACTCTCTCCACTGACCATATTACTTCCAGAATCCGGATCCTCGGCCGCCCTACCCGGCAGCCCCCCAAAACGACGTCGTTTTGGGGGGTTTTTTTTTTTCTCTCTCTCTCTCTCTCTCTCTCTCTAATGACTTTCTTGAGAAACAAACACAAGCATGTAACATGTTCCACATTCTCGTGGAAATTCTTACGCAATCATTTGTATAATAACTACAATTTTTGGTCAACTATAAAAGGACAAATTAAAACCCAACAACCAAAGAAAAAAAGCTACGGACCCAAAAAATTACTAACAAAAACTGGAAATTGATTCACAAACAAACAGAATTTTTGTATGGAAGCCCAGTAGCATGATGTGGTATTGTTAAATTACAAATTTATGAGCAATAATAGTTGGTGTTCAGTTTAAAATGAAAGGACTATAAGAGCATTCACACCAAACTCTTTAATCTTTTTAGTTAAATTAAAGTTATTTCATTATTTTAGTTACTCACCTTTTAGCACCTACTGCATCAAACTCTTTATTCTGACTTATTCTTATTAAATATTATTTTCTTATTATGTTTGTTAGTCTTGTTTTTTATATTAAATTAATAAGTTAGCAGCCAAACAATTCTTTAAAAAAAAAAAAAATTTGCCGTTGACCTGTTGACCGAGCGGACATCTGGTAACACACAAATAGCGATGAACAGTGCCTCATTTATTGTAACAAGTTACTGTACCGATCGTAAATTTTGACGAGTTTCATGCGAGTTTGATGCTGCCTCATTTTTGAAGTTTTTAGCTAAAAAATAAAGTTTGAAGAGCTTGATGAGGATGCTCTAAAAAATTGCACCACTTTGTACAAAAATTATGTTTGCATAGTATTTAGTTTTTTGAATTCAATTTTTTAAAAATTGAGTTTTTTATTTTTCGTGTTTTATTGTTTTTAGTGAATATTTTTAAAATTTTAAGCAATTTTTTTTACTTTTTTAGATATACCTTACTGAGATTTATCTAAATAATAAAATATTTATGAAAAAATATTTTAAAAAATTAATAAATACACAAAAATATGAAAAATGTACTGAATTTTCATAATTTTTTTTGTTGTATTTTTGGTATTTAGTGAATTTTTTTTAAAAAAATTCACAAATGTTATACTTTTTAAGTATATTTATGTTAGGTGTGACTAAAAATTAAAAAAAAAAAAATTTGTAAATAAAAAATATAGAAAATAAAAAAATAAATTTTTTTGAAAAGTATTTTTAAAAAATTAAAAACAAACGTATAGTTTTTTTCAATGACCATGTTGACTTAAAATGAGTGAATTTATTCCTAACAATCCAAGAAAAACATATACAAAAGAAGGGGCTGTTCTGGTTCTATATTAATGAGGAACATAGCCATTTTTTTGCCATTTGCAATTATGTAGTTATGGAATTTAGCTATACATGGAAGCGACGCCGGGGGGGATCAAAAGTAGTTCACCAAAAAAAAAAAAAAGACAAAAAAGAAAGAGAACAATAATGAAAACTTTTGTTATCTTCTCAACCAAGTAAAAATAAATTTAGCATCACCTGATAATGACAAGACCATGGGATGGGAGTTATTCACAATATATATATATATATATATATAAAGTCATCAGCTCATTTAGTGGTATTTTGAAGTCTATTTTTTTCTTTTGTCAGAAATAAATAAATAAATAAATTATACAGTGGAGTAAACAAGACTCGAACTTAGGCTTCGTTTGAAAAGAAGGGTTAAAGTTGGGTTTCAGACTATTTTAATCATAAAAAGATAAAATAAATTTTTTAACCCAATAAAACAAAACATAACATCAAATTCATAATCATTATATTCTTTTTCTCACAAAAATTCAAAAAATTCAAAAAATTCTTTTCAAACATTAAAATAGTTACAAAGTCAAAAATCTAACCCACTTCCCAAATAAACCCTTTAAATCTAGCAAAAAATACCTTTACCACTTGAACAAAATACACTACATATCTTTAAGAAAAATGCTTGGGAGCACTAATTAGTGCTCCCACTAATTAGGTGGCAGTGGGTCCGGCCATTAATGATGTGATGTTTTGGTCTTGAAATTGTATTTTTTTTTTATTTTTTTACTTTTTTAATGCATTAATGCTATTAGTGATGATGTTTTTAGTGGGATGAATCATTGTTGTATCTTTAATTCAAAATCAAAATTTGCATTTTACAAATTTAACAACAGAGGGGACGTACACCCATCAGTTATTATTATGAAAACATAGGTAGGGTAGGGTCCTCTATCTTTGAATATATTGAGCCTAGGGACCAAATATTTTTTAGGGTAGGGTCCTCTATCATTATTTGTTAGAAATCAAATATTTTTGTTGCGAAAAGTATTGTCATTATATTTTTAACAATAAAAATTAAACATTAATGATGAATTATTATCCTTTTGAGATCACATTTTTTGTCTCAAAAAATAAAGTATTTTGAGACTAAATTATTTTGTCCTTAAAAATTTATTTATTAGTGATATTTTTAAAATTTTGTCGTTAAAGTTCTTATTTTTTACTTTTCAGAACGACCTTTTAACTACTATCCTCATGACGATAGAAATTAGTCCCTAAATATCTTTTGCAACAAAATTTTCACTTTCAGAGATCAAAACATTTGATTTCTAAAACTCTTATATGTTGTAATGAATTAATGTATTAACTAATATACTAACAGATGATGTCACATAATTTTAGAGGAATAATGCTATATGTTACATAATTGATATACTAACTAGTATATCAATTGATAATGTTACATAATTTAAGAGGTTTTTGAAATTTGTAATGTGATTAATGAGTGGTGTCAATAATAATATCATAACTAGTGTTAGTACACTAGTTAGTATACTAATTGGTGCATGTAGCATCACCGATTTTAGAGGTTTTAAATGTTTATAATTTGTATAATAAATAGAGTCAGTAATAATGACATAACTAATTGATATATTAATATTTATATTAATTGATGTATGTAGAACAGCGTATTATTATTTTTTTTCAAAATGGCGCATTAATTGGTCACTGGCGACAGCTTCATTGCCCTTCAATAACCTACTTCAATGCCTTTCACCATGAAAAGAAAAAGGGTAAATTACACTTTGCCCTCTAAAGTTTTATCTATTTTTTACTTTGATTTTTTAAGTTTGATTTTTTTTACTTTACCCTTTTATATCTGCAATCTTTTCTATTTTGGCCTTTTAAGTTTAATTTTTTTTACTTTAGCGCTTCATATTTGCAATCCTTCCCACTTTGACCATTCATGTTTGCAATCATTCTCGCTTTGCTCCTAGACTAATTTTCATCTAAAAAACTAACAGAATCTACCAAATCACCAACGCATCAGCTCCATGTGCGATATAAAAATTCACTAAAGATGCAAACAATTAAAAAAAGAAAATGAATTTTTTTTAGTCTTTAGTGAACTTTTTTTTTCAAATTTATTTATAAATATTATTACATTATAGATGCATCTAAAATCTAGATTAGATGCACCTAAAAAAAAAACAATTTAACTATTTTTTTTTTATTAA